TTTTCTGCTAAACTCGTATAGTCAGATCATACTTATTAGGGATGTATTATGTGCCTTGCCTATACAGAGAGAAAAGTCTCTATCTTCAAAAGTTTTTGAGACAAAGAAATCAATGACATGAATATCAGGACTGTATTCTTATCTGAAAGCTCAAGGTTCTCCTCGAAGCTCACCATGATGTTGGCAGAAATTAATCTCTTATATCTGCAAAATAAATGTCTTCTTTTTTTTTCAATGTCTTATTTTCTTAGCAGCTTTTAGTCTGAGCCTACCACCTGAAAAAACAATTTTCAAAAGCAGGGTTTTCTTTCTTTATTTATTTTTAATTTAAAAAAAAATTTTTATGTATTCTAGGACAGGGTCTATAGTGTCTACAGGGTCTCACTACGTAGATTGAACTCTTAGTGATTCTCCAGTTTTCAGCCCCTAAAGCACTGGGATTACAGGGACATGCTACCAATCCCACTCTCAATTGCCATCTCAGTGTGCCATGGGGTCAGGGCTGGCATGGCACACTGGGATCAAACCCTGGCCACTGAGCTCTGCCTAAGCAGGCGCTTTAGTCTGCTGAGCTATCTGGCCGGCCCCAGTGTTTCCTTGAGCAAAGCAGATATCAAAATCATTAAGTTGTACTATGAAAAACATAAAACTTCAATACCTAAAATAAATTTTAGAAATATTCCACATATCTGAGTAATTTAATAATCAGTATCACTAAAGTGGGTGTAAAATGCATCAGTACTTAAAAATACACATATGTAATTTTTTAATAATTTTATTGAGAAACAGCAATGAGACAGTTTCAAAACCAATTAGTAGGATAGTTTCCATAATTAATACATTGCATATTGTTGTCCTCTTAGTGGTTATTCATAGTATAAGATGCAGACATGATATCCTTTCCACAAACACTATTAGTACAAATCTTTCTAGTCATTGAATTAAGAGAAAGTAGCTGTATATCTATCCTAACTATTTTGAATATACAGATACAAAAGGGCCCTTCATTTGTATCCCCTTTTTTGTTCAGTTTTGTCAGATGTTGGTATTCCATTGCCATGTGAATATTGTAGGTATGTGAATTCAGCAAAATAATCCAATATAGTCCAGTAGTCCATAATAATAGTAAGTTATCCATCGGCCTGGCAATGTCAGAAGTTGTTGACTTGAGCCTTTTACAGCTAAATACACATATGTAAATAATGTCAACAAACAAAATTGAGAATATAAATTAGTACATATACTTTTTCTATTATATGATGTAGAATACTTGATTAAGTTTCTAGATTTTATAACTTCAGAGGTCATTTTAAAAGTACAGTAATTCTATACAAACATTAACAAAAATACCATATAACTGTTAAATATTTTTATTGACATTAAGTGGTATAGAAGTTCAGAGTGGTAAGGGCTGCCCAAATAGCGCAGTGAATTAAAGTTCCTGCAAGCAGGCACAGGGGCAGGGGGTTTGATTCCAGGGCCTGCCATGCCAGCCCCGCCCCCAGTGCATGCTGAGATGGCAGTTTAGACAGGGCGTGGTGGCGCGTGCCTGTAATCCCAGCTCTTGGGAGGCTATAAACAGATGGATCACTGGGAGTCTGATATAGTAGTGAGACACTGAACACCCTGTAGAATCTTGCCTAACATACCAAAAAAAAAGAAGAAGAAGAAGAAGAAGAAGAAGAAGAAGTTTAGAGTGGAAATAATGTCAACTAGAGTCTCTCTTCAGGGGTAAATAAGATTAAATTTATATGAAATAGTTTACTAGATTTTTTGCATAGGACTGGCTCATAATCTGTAGGTCATCATCAGCTTGATATACAGTATTATATGTCCTGTGAAGGAGTGTCTTCTACCTTGGTATGACTCATTTTCATTTAATGGAAATATTTTAGCATTGTTTTGGGAACTCAGTTAAAATTTTCAGAATACTATAATATCCCTCTTTGCCATACAATAACAAATAGTATATTGTGTATCTCTATAAATTGACACTATTTTACCCCCATCAGTTTACCATTTTTGGCTGTTGCAAAGTAAAATGCTTTCCCCTCTTTACAGGGATTTCAATATTCAATCATCCTGTGTCTCTAGAATAACCAACTATCTCAACTGTTCATATATTGGTTTTATTTAAAAAGACATGTGGCAGACTGAATAATGCACCCCCTACCCCACAAATATGCCTATGTCTTAATTTCTAGAACCTGTGAATGTCATGTTATGTGGCACAGTGGACTTTGTAAAGCAAAGGATTCTTTAGGTGTGATTAAAAATCTTGGGATGAGAAGTTATCCTAGATGACCTAGATGAACCCTATAAAATGTTAATGGTACTTACAGAGTGAGGACAAGGCAATGTGAGGATGGAAGCAGAAGTTGGAGTGATTACACTTTCACTGTGGCGTATGCAAACCAAGGAAATCAGGTAGCTTCTAGATGCTAAAAAAAAAAAGGCAAGAAAAGTGATTCTCCTAGAGTCTGAAAGGAACCAGCCTTGCCAACACCTGAACTTTAGCCTATGAAATGCTTTTCTAGTTTCTGACTTCCAAAACTGTAAGAGAATAAATTTTTGTTATGTTAAGCCATGAGGTTTGTGGTAATTTGCTATAGAAGAAACAGTAAGCTAATATCCAAGTTGTTATATGTTAGTTTACTGGAAATGTCATAGCCTTGAGCAAATATGCTTCTCTTGGCTTGCAAATAACTATTCATTAAAGTAAAAACACATTTCAGTGGTTCTCGATAAAAGCTTAAGATGGATTTTTGTTAATATTAGTGTTCACTATGTGATTGCTTTCTGCATTCAATTGTATGGAGATAAAATATAGAAAGGAAGTAAAGAGTTAATGTAAATTGACATAGGGGAAGAGGAAGGTGAGAGTAGATGCTGTCAAGGATATTTTCATTGTTTTTCTTGTTTGTCTGCCAGATTTCTTTTTCTTGTTTTTATCTTTGGGTAAAAAGTCCAGGTTGGAAAACAGTTTCTCCAAATGTAGACAATTTACTCCTTTCAGTTTCTATATTAAATATTATACTCTCGCACCTGCTTAGCTAGAGTGCAACAACTGGGGTTCAAACCCTCACATGCCATGCCAGCCCCCTCCCCCTGGGGTGTGCTGAGATGGCGAATGAGACTGGGCATGGTGGCACACACCTGTAATCCCAGCACATGGGAGGCTGAAAACATGAGAATCACTATGAGTCTGATCTGGGTAGTGAGACCCTGTACTACATACATACATACATACATACATACATACAAACATACATACTTACATACATGAATATTATACTCTGGTGCTTCTAAAAAATAAAGAGTTGTAGGCTTAATCTATTTTTGGACAATCCACCTTGTTGTTTAAATAACTGGACTGGGTGGCCCCCTTATACTGGAGATCTAATCTACAGAGAAGCACTAAGATTTCAGAGGACTATCTTTGGAAAAATTTGATCATTGGCTGGATTCATTTTTAGCATTTTCAGAAGTATATCTCCCCCATTAGTCTAGTTTGACATAGAGTCTATATTAATTTCTTGTATTATTTTGTTAATCCCAAGTATCTATCTTCATGAGTAAGTTGTTTATCTATTGCACATTAAACAGTGTTTTATATGAGAGTATTTCCCTTGGGCAACATGTAATTTAGATACCCCAGGTTTCTGACATACATTGTGAAGAAAAGCTGCTTATTTGATATACTGAATCAGTGATGTTCAGAGCTGAGTGAGAGTAACAACTCAGTCTCCCAAGGCCAGCAGTTCAGCAAATGGAGACAGTCAAGGACAAAGACCTGTGTTTTTCAGAATGTGGTTCCAGATCCACATCATCTGGGAATTTGTTAGAAGTGCAAATTATCTGACTCTACTCCAGAGTTCGAGTCTCTTGGGCTGAATCCAGCATTTCATGTTCAACAAGCTCTCTGGGTACTTCTAATACTATTAAAGTTTGAGAATGATTGATTGAGTCTGAGGTTTGCTTTGCTTTGTCCATGGTAGAACAGATTTAAGGCAAAGATGTTGGGAAAGCTCCTTCTATTGGTAGTTTGCAACTACTTCCTTTCTGCTACAGTTCTATTAGAATATAATCACTTGAATAGCTTTAGAGACAAAATCCCTTAAGCTTGTAGCAGAAATGAAATATATTTTGTTGTTAAATAATGGCTTTTGATTAAAATTATATTTTGTAAAGATATTTATAAAAATTCATGAAATTTGTAACAGTAACATCCTATTCATTTTAGGTGAAATGTTTTGCATCAAACCTCATTCTGTATAATGGCCAATCAAAAAGTATTTAAGGTGGCTAAATGGATTCTTGGTCCAGTATATAAAAGTAAACATTTTTGAATCTTAAAACTCAATGTTTTTGCTTCATCTCCAAGTTGATTTTAGGTAACATTCATTATTTGCAACTCCTAAAATCACCAAACATCTTACTCAAAGACTGTGTAGCAACCTCTGTATTTTTCTTGTCCATATATAGATTTGCTTAAGTATATGCTGTAAACCTACAGATGGATATAGCTTTGTGGCACATCTGTTTGGATATGCAAATGCCAGTGTTTAAGAAGACAATGTTTTTTTTTATTTTATTTTATTTATTTGAGAGAGAGAGAGAGAGAGAGAGAGAGAGAGAGAGAGAGAGAGAG